CGTGCATTGTTAGGAGAGAGGACCGAGGCCACAGAGGCCGCCAGGAATGCTCCTGCCCTATCCTTCCTTCTAAGTCCATTGGAGCAACCCAGGCTGATGGTCTGTTTGCAAGGACGCCTGCCTGAAGGGGATGGGCTGAGAGTCAGAGAGGGGTGCTGTTTGCTGTTGTTAAGCATCAGGGAAGCAGAGGCGTGGTTGAAAAGAAGAGACAGGCAACCGAGCTGGGCTTGGCTGTTCCTCCCCCTTGTCCATCAAGCTCGTGATGGACAGTCAGCCTCCGGTCATGCCACTGGGCTGGAAAACTGGCAGGAGGGCCCCACTTGGGCCTGGAGATAGGAAACGGCAGGGGTGACATGTACTGCAAAGGCATGTAATGAGTGTGGACTTAACTTGTCATAATAGCATTTGGCTGTTGGCAGGTTCTGCTTTGTCTGTTGAAGCTTTCTACTTGAGGGTTGATTCTTACTGCACCCTGGGGAGCGAGACTTCTCCTTCTCTCCCCTTTTACTAGCAGGGACACCAAGGAAAGGAGAGGTGACATGTCTCATCCCTGTATCGATGCTAGGTTCCACTTCCCAAGAGACCCTCCCCCCAGGAAAAGCTTCCTCTCTTTGCCTTCCAGCCTCGCTGCTTTTGTCTCTGTGAATCCATAGGTGACAGTAACAATAAATACCACCTATACTGAAAGATTAAGAGGAGGACCTGAGGAAATATGCATGGAGCCCCCAGAGTCTATTTTTAGATGCTCCTGGGAGGTTTTAAAAAAGGACTCAAGCTGTTAACTATTTATGACTTTCCGAATGCAGGACAGAAATAGAAGGGCAGCACTTAGCTTCTCCAAAGCTGGGGAGTAAATTCCTCTCAGAGACCTGAAACCACTTTGGGGCCATTACATTTACTGTCTCTTGGATGGCATTTAATATCTAGCATAACTAATATCTAGTTTTTACTTTTGGCCACGGCAATAGTTCTTATTTTTTCGGTGTTGAAAATCATGTTAAGAGTAGCCAAGGAAATTGAGTCACGGAGCGAGAACTATCTCAGAGTCACATGGTTGGTCTGTGGCCAAGCCTCGGTGGAAGCAAATCTCTTGCTATTTGGGCCAAAGTTCACTGCCGAGGGTTGAACTGAATGTCCCAGGGCAGGTTTGGGTGTGGAAAATTCTTCAGGGGATACTCAATCCAACAAACGGACAAGATGCTATGGTATCATGAATCAACCAAGCTCCATCTGCCACCTTTCCTGGCTCCAGGCCAGCTTTCCACCTGGAAGAGTCAATATTCTCCCCAAGAAGATGTTGCATTAGACATGTTAGAGGACACAGGCTCACGGCCCGCCCTGAAACCTCACACACTTGTGTTGTATTATGAGCAGGACAGAATGCATTTCCAGGCCGGGTTGTACCTCAGGTCGGGGGTAAATAAGTAGGGTTTCCCCAGCTGCTCTCCGAAGCTTTATGATGTCCTTCTCAGTAGCCAGCACCTTGATGATCCCTTCCTTTAAACTTGGCCGAACAGGGACTTGGAAATCAAGGATGTAGAACCTTAGCCCCACACAGCCAATAGCTTTAAGCTAAACAAACCCACAAGAGACTGGTATTTGCCTGAACAGAAAACCACAGAGGAATGAATTAACACCACAGTCAGAGTTTCCATCTGGGCCCTGCTGGCGCCCTCACCACACAGAGGCTGCCTGTGCCGGCTGCCCCACTCCCTGCTGGCTCAGCCTAGTGCAAGTCCCTGGGCCAATCCTGACAGAAACGGGGTGTGCATGAACACTGTCTTCCTCAGCCAGGCTGTGGGACTTCCCAAGCAGGGACTCAGTGGTCCAGCCTCTGCTACTGCCTCCTTCTGCCCCTCTATTTCTGGTGACTACCACATCCAGCACGTGGCATGCCAGGGGCCAGCCCCCCCATAACCAAGCAGCCTAATGGGCTGTATGGGTCTTCTTGATGCCCACTCCCACTGTACTCTCCAGTCTGGCAGTGCTGCCACTATATACTTGGCTGGTCTGGCATCAACCACATTTGGAATTTGGCTCCATCAGACACTGCTCCCTGTCTGGTACCAGGGACTGTAGTTGATTCTGTTTCTGTTGACAGCTATCTTCTCCAGTCCTAGCTCAACTCTTATCCCTGGTCCCACATACAGTGTTCTCATTACCACCTTGTACAGCACAGTCATGCATAGTTTAACCACAGGGACACGTTCTGAGAAATGTGTCATTATGTGATTTCATTGTTGTGCAAACTTCCTAGAGTGTATTTACACAAACCTAGACGATACAGCCTACTAGAAACCTAGGCTACATGGTTTAGCCTATTGCCCCTAGGCTGCAAACCCGTATAGGATGTTACTGTACTGCCCACTGTAGGTAATTGTAACACAATGGTAAGTATGTATGTACCTAACTTATCTAAGCATAGAAAAGGTATAGTAAAAATGTGGTATAAAAAATAAAAAATGGTACAGCTATATAGGGAACTTACCATAAATAAAGTTTGCAGGACTGGAATTTGCAACTCTGGGTGAGTCAGTGGTGAGTGAGTGTGAAAGCCTAGGACATTACTATACTTTTGTTGTTGTTGTTGTTGAGACAAAGTCTCACTCTGTTGCCCAGGCTGCAGTGTAGTGGCACAATCTTGACTCACTGCAACTTTCGCCTCCTTGGGTTCAAGCGATTCTTGTGCCTCAGCCTCCTGAGTAGCTAGGACTGTAGGTGTGCACCACCACTCCTGGATAATTTTTATATTTTTAGTAGAGATGGGGTTTCATCATGTTGGCCAGGGTGGTCTTGAACTTCTAGCCCCCAAGTGATCTACCCACCTTGGCCTCCCAATGTGCTGGGATTGTAGGTGTGAGCCAGGGCGCCCGGCTACTGTACATTTTTATATGACAGGCAGCACAGTAGATTTGTTTACAGCAACGTCACCACAAACATTTGTGTAATGACATTACAACAGCTATGCCATCACTAGACAGGATTTTTTCAGCTCCATGATCATCTTATGGGACCATTGTTGTATACATAGTTCCTGATTGACTGAAATGTCGTTATGTGATGCATAACTGTAGTTGCATTTTAACTCATCCGTCTTCCCTATCAGACTGTGAGCTCCATGAAAACAAAACTCTCTTCTGGTTTTCTCCTCATTGTATTCCCAGCACCTAGCACAGCAGCTAGCGAAACAGCAATATTTAGTCTGTATTTGATCCCTGAAAATGAATAGGTGATATCCCATTCCTGTAGAGGGGAGTGATCACTTCCTTGATTTTGCTGATGTACATCCGTCTCTGTTCAAATTGAAAGAGTAAGTTCATTGCAAACCATCTCTGGCAGAATTGTCACTTCTGAACAAGTGTCTGTACAAAGACCTTTGCTCATTACAAAACAGGGGTCGTAACAGAAATTGGTCCCTTTGGTTGATTTTGCAATTATATTTAATTGCTCACCATTCTGCCAATTAATCAAGACTTCAGTTGCGCGAAGTAAGGACATTTTTTTAAGAGGTGGATTAAAGGGGAAATTGCATTTAATGGGAGAAGATGAGGCCGTGGCTCTGAAATATCTTCAAGTGAGTCACAAAGTATCTCTAAACCTTAGTTTCCTCATCTGGAAATTGACATAGTTGAACTCAGTAATCACTAAATTTCTTTCCAGGTTTATGGTCCTATTAACTTATAATTTTGTTTCACTAATGCAAGTCTCCAAGCCTGCTCTTTCTGTCTTGTTTTGGCCATATCAGAACCTCAGGGTTAAGCCTTCGCATGACTTTTCATATGTTGCCACCAGGTGGCAGGAGTGTGCCACAGACTTTTGGTTCCATGCATAAAGAGCGTGAGCGTCGGAGGTGGACTTAGGATGGTAGCTTTCTGAGCTAGAAGGGCAGAGTCTTTGAGTTTTTGAAATAGCAAACCCTCTTGTTTGTGAAAACACATTTGCTTTTGTGCAAAACAACAATTTGAGGGTTAGCAATGACCATATCTAGAAATGACCGGGGACCCAGAATTTTATGGTCCAGAATTTTAAGGACATGGCACCCAGCCCCTGGTGGTCTTCTCACTCCCACTTTATACCTGAGTAGGTCATGGCAGCCCATCACCCCAGCAGCCACTGTGGAATTCGTGTCCCATGAGGAACACCACGGGCTGAACCAGGGTTGATGTATTTACACTGTTTCTTTGCTCCTTCCTGTCTCCAGGGAAAGAGATCAGGGCTAAGCCCAGGGAAATTTAGGATCCGTAAGTCCTTTGAAAAAAAACTTTAAACTATTTGCCTAATTATAATAAAGTTTTACCTAAACACAAGCTCAGCAAGGAAAATTGTCACCCCCTGTGATGGTTAGTTTCGTGTCAACTTGTCTGGGCCATGGTGTGCCCAGATGTTTGGTCAAGCATTATTCAGGGTGCTTTTGTGAGTGTGTTGTTGGATGAGATTAGCATTTAAATCTGTAGGCTGAGTCAAGCAGATGTGGCCCTCCCTCATGTGGATGGGCCTCATCCAATCAGTTGAAGGCCTGAAGAGAACAAAAGGCTCTCCCTCCTCCAAATAAGAGAGACTTCTTCCTACCTAAGTACTTTCTTCAAACTGGACAATGGTTCTCTCTGGGTCCCAAGCCTGTCAGTCTTCAGCCTAGAAGCTCACCATTAGCTCTCTCGCACTGCTAGTTTGGTAACTCACTCTGCAGATCTGGAGGTTTCTCAACCTCTGCAATCACATGGGCCAACTCCTTAAAATAAATCCCTTCATATATATGTGTATGTATGTGTGTGTGTGTGTGTATAACATATATACGTATAGTGTATATAAAATACGTATATTATGTGCATATATGTATATGTAAAATGTCCCATTTCTTCTGTTTCTCTGGAGAACTCTCACTAACATACTCCCTGGCTGGCCATTCATCCTTTGGCTATGCTTTCAATTCACACATGTGTACTGAGAACCCATCTAGAACTAGGCCCTGTACTAGGCATTAACATAGAAAGATGAACCCAGCTGCCTGACTTTACAGATTCAAGAACAAGGGAAAAGACAGTACAGAAATGAGGTGTTGCAGAATAGAAGTCAATCTGGAGCTGAGGAAAGCTAAGGATGACCAGATGCTGAAGAGGAGAAATGTAAGCTCATTTCCTGATGATGCTACTTCTCTGCTGCAGAAAAACCACAACAACCAGGGCGCTGTAAATTGGTCTGTTGATGACATTGTCAAAGGCATAAATAGCAACAATGTGGAAAGTCAGCTCCAAGCGACTCAAGCTGCCAGGAAACTACTTTCTAGAGGAAAACAGGCCCCCCCTGCCCAACCCCCGCTGCAAAGACAACTTAATCTGGGCTGGTTTGATTCCAAAATGTGTGTCTTTCTTGGGCAGAACTGATAGTAGTCCCATTCAGTTTGAATCTGCCTGGGTGCTCACTGACATTGCTTCTGGGAATCAGAACAAGCCAAGGTTGTGGTAGTTGGAGGTGCCATCCTAGCATTCATTTCTCTGTTGGCATCTCCCCATGCTCACATCAGTGGACAAGTTGTATCGGCTCCAGGAAACATTGCATGTGATAGCTCAGTTTTCCAAGACTTGGTTACTAAGTACGGTGCAGTTGACCTACCGTTGGCTCTTCTTGCAGTTCCTGATATGTCATCTTTAGCATGTGGTAACTTACGTAATCTTACCTGGACACTTTCAAATCTTTGCTGCAACAAGAATCCTGCACCTGTGTTAGATGCTGTTGAGGAAATTCTTCCTACCTGAGTTCGACTCCTGCATCTTGATGATCCAGAAGTATTAGCAGATACCTACTGGACTATTTCCTACCTGACTGATGGTCCAAATGAATGAATTGACATCGTCATGGAAACAGGAGTTGTGCCCTAACTTGTGAAGCTTCTAGGAGCTTCTGAATTGCCAATTGTGACTCCTGCACTAAGAGCCATAGGGAATATTGTCAGTGGAACAGATGAACACACTCAGGTTGTGATCGATGCGGGAGCACTTGCTGTCTTTCCCAGCCTGCTCACCAACCCCAAAACTAACACTGGGAAGGAAGCTACGTGGACAACGTCAAACATCACAGCTGGCCGTCAGGACCGTATACAGCAAGTTGTGAATCATGGATCAGTCCTATTCCTTGCCAGTGTTCTACGTCAGATCTTAGGACACAAAAGGAAGCTGTATGAGCTGTGACCAACTATATCAGTGGCGAAACAGTTGAACAGATTGTGTACCTCATTCATCGTGGCATGCTGATGAAACTCTCAACTGCGAAACATACCAAGGTTATTCTGCTTATCCTGGATGCCATTTCAAATATCTTTTAGGCTGCTGAGAAACGAGGTGAAACTGAGAAACTTAGTATGACGATTGAAGAATGTGGAGGCTTAGACAAAATTGAAGCTCTACGAAACCATGAAAATGAGTGTGTATAAGGCTTTGTTAAGCTT